AAGGGGCGGCGCACCTCTCAGGCCGCCTTGCGTCTAGTTCCCAAGCTGGCTTTAGATGCTGTCTTCTGACCGGGCAGCTGAGAACTGGCCAGAGCTGCGCGGGATGCAGAGCCTGTGGACGCTGGAGGGACACAGTTCGGCCATGGAGCGTTCCCGAGCACAGACACATGCACATTCTTGGCCCGGGCTGGGGGTGTCCAGGGCTCACAGGCTCTCGGGGTGGGGTGCTCACGGGTGAAGGGGGGCGGGGAGGGTGGTCCTTCTGCGCATGCTCAGTCAGGGGTCTCATCGCCCTGCGGCGCCCACCCCGGAGCCCCGCGGAGGGAGAGTGAGGCGAGGTGTCGCCCCCCTGGACACTATGGAAAAGTACCAGGTGCCCCGTGAAGACAGGGCCGGCAAGGGGTGACGGTCAGGGGCGAGCTGGGGACTGGAACTTCTTGCAGTACTTGGCACCCCTGATCTCGTAGAGTAACGGCCACAGCTCTGGAGAGGAGGCCAGGTCCAGCGGTGGGAGGTGGGGACCTGGGACCTGGCTGGTGCCCCCTCCAGCTCGCAGGGTGCCCGCCTTGAACTTTGCCTGTTCCCCCACTCTAATGTGGTGGGTAGACATCAACGTTAGGGACTCTCCTGCCCGGCCGGGATATTTTGAGGAGGTGGACAGCTCTCCCTTCCTTCTTGTCCCTCTCCCCCCCCCCCCCCCCCCAAAAAAAGCAAACTCACTGCTATTGAATGGATTCCACTAATAGCAAGGAGGACAGAGCAGAACTGTCCCCCAGGGGTCAGAGGCTGCCCGTGGTGGAAGCCCGCAGCTCCATCTTTCTCTAAAACCACTCGTGGGTTCAAACTGTAGACCTTTTAGTTAGCATAACTGTGCCACAACTGAGCACAGTGGTCAAGTCCAGATTTGTTACCTAGGGACCCTCAAGTGCTGGGACCAAGGGACAGAAGGCGACCCTCGTCATCCTGATGTAATGCTGATCTAACCCAAAACACTTCTTCAGCCTGTTAGTCCTAGCAAGGGTCAGATCCTGTGCCAGCCTCCAGACCTGGGACGTTCACTCGTTGTTATGTGCGGTAAAGTCACCTGCGACTCAGAGTGACCCTGTCTATGTACAGCAGCTCTGAAGCCTGCCCTGTCCTGAGCCAGTCTCACGGATTCTGACACACCAACCCCCATTGCCCAGTCACTGTATCAACCCATCTCATGCGAAGTCTTCCTCTCCTGTGCTGTCCCTCCACCCTTCCCAGCATGATGTCCTTCTCCAAGGACCAGTCCCTCCTGGAACGTTCACTTCCTGTCCCCAAAACAGTGCTGTAAAATAACCAGGAACCAACTTTTGATCCTTCCATAGTTCACTGTAGAGGGTTAAGTGTAGGATCTGGGGGACGCACCCAGAGTTTGGAGACAGTGTGCTGGAGAGATCTCTAACCTGGTGGGAATCTGGAGTGTGGAGGACCAGAGGAGGGGTCAGTGGTCAGTGCTCTGAATGACCAGATCACTGAAAATAGGGTTCTTTTTTAGGGGAAAAGTTTGATGTGATTTGCGGTGAGCAGGCCAGGCCTGGGTGGGTCTTGACAGCTCTGCCCTCAGTCCACTGTGGAAGAGACTTGGGCCCCCACAGAACCTCAATATTCCTAAGAGGTCCACCCCTGCTCCTGCATCTTCTGCTCCATCTTCTGCTAAATCTTCTCTGGGAGACCAGTGCCACCCCCACCCATGGCCTGGCTCCTGGCAGTTCTGACCTGGTGGGCAGACATATTCGCAGGGTCAGCTCAAAACACAGTCTCTGGAGTCAGACCCACAAGTCCAGTCTAGGTGGACTTACTGTAGGCAATGGTGTCTAAGGCCAGGGCCTGTTCTCTTTGCCTCAGTTTCCTCCAGTGGAGGTGGCCATAGCACCAACCCCAAAGGGTGGCAGCTGCAGAGAGCTTGGCGAGCTTAGCCTAGTGTTGGGCACATGGACACTGAGAAAAGGACTCTGGTCTGTTATGCGGTCAGTTAGCAGATGAAGGATGCCTAGATCAGAGTGGATGCCAGAGAAGTAACCCAGATGCTGGTCCTGCCCACAGATTGAAAAGGGCCTTGGGGTGGAGGAAAACCCAAACTAACCTTACTGCCCGAGGCGCTCCAGCCTGGGAGCTATAGAAGCTGATTGTGGGGCAGCTGGCGGGCTTGAACTGCCAACCTTTCAGCTAGCAGTCCAGCATTTAACCGGTTAATCATGGCACCACCAGAATCTCCCCAAAGAGATGGTGCTGCTCTGCCTTGGATGGTCCTGGGCCTGCCGCAGTGTGGGGAGGAGACACTGCCCTGGCTGCCCCACAGGGGACGTGCTCGGGTCACCCGCATGGACACATCTAGGAGAGTAACAAGCTGCGTGCAGCCTCTGAAAGCTGACCTCTCCCTTTCTGGTAGATTCTTTACCAGCTGGAGCCTGGAGCCTTGGGGGTGAACCTGGTGGCAGAGCGGATGGCCACTAACACCAAGTGTGTGGTGAAGAAGGTAAGGGCCAGCTGAGCTGGACACCCACACAGCTCACCCAGGTGCAGGCTGCTGGTCCAGTACATGTGCTTGTCAACCCATGAGAAACACAACCCCTGATGCTGCAGCTGGACCCCCCACTAGCACTCAGGGGCCACAGAAATGTGGGCTGAGGGCCCACACTGACCCTCCTGCTCAGAACCGCCCCCTGATGAAGTTTGCTTGTTAAATCAAATCATGGGAATATTTAAACCTCTGCATCGGTCAATTCCAGCTTATGCTAACCCCACAGGACAGAGGGCTGCCCAACAGAATAGAGGGATCCCCAACAGGACGGAGGGATCCCCCACAGGGTTTCTTAGCTGCCGTCTTTGTGATGGTAGACAGCTTTATCTTGTCATGTGGAGCAGCTAGTGAGTTTGAACTGCTGACCATTTGGTTAGTAGTGAGTAGTGAGTTACGATAGCACTGAGTTCCTCCCCTACCGCTACCTCCTGCTTCAGCAGCACTGTCACATTCAGTGTCACATCAGCCCTGCAGAGCCGGACACTGACGTGCACTGTACACGTGACCCAGGAGCGAGCTCCGGGCTAGCTAGTCACGCAGGTCACCTTTCCAAGGGACCCAGTACCACTCAGAGCAGGGCCACCAAGATGACCAAAAGGGAACCAGACCCAGAGAAGTGCAAAGGCTGGTTGTCTCAAACCACACAGGACACTGGGCCCTGGACCCTTCCTCAGTGCCCCTCACTGGTGCTGACCAGGCAGGGTTGGGGTGTAGACCTTAGATGGTCTAGGGGAGGAGAGCTGCCCTGGAAGGATTTGCGGGGATGGGGGTGGGACCAGCGCTCGTGCGCCCCGTGCTCTGTATTCTGCAGTGGTGGACGTGCTGACTGCATGGACAGGCAGCTCCGAGGGGTCAGGGGGCTTCTGTGCTGCTGGGCCACTTGTCTCCAACTCAGCAGGCTCATCCCCAAGGTGGCGGGCCTGGAGTCCTGGTGACCGTGTGATGGTGGTGATAGCCGTGTTCGTGATGAGGAGGGTGATGATGGTGACCAAAGAGTGGGGGCGGCGTGGTCATCGTGTGGTGATGATGGTGATGGTGATGATTGAGGAGGTGGGGGCGGCGTGGTCATCGTGTGGTGATGATGGTGATG